TGAGCAAACCCTTTGGCGCTATATAAACTCGATGTAATATTAATAATAATAATAATATAACAGGAGACAATAAAGTAACAATACAGTTCAATACAAGAGGGTTAGGAGGGCCCTGCTCCTTGGAGCTTACAATCTAAGAGGGAGAAATGTCATTTACGTACAGGATTGCATGGCTGCGCAATTGTCAGATAAAGTAACGCTGTGCCATATCGCAAAAAATGGCCTAGTCAGGAAGGGGGGTAAATACTCTGGAGGGCAAGTGGTTAAACCAGACCGTCACTTAAAACCTTTTTTTTTCTGGGAGCAGGCACCACCTTTCTGCTCCCACTTCCTCAATTCTCACCTAGGCTCTGTCCACCTCCAGCTTGCAATCACCTGGAAACATCACACATTCAGGAAGGCTGCAGAGTAAGTTCTACAGCATTGTTGTGCCTTGTGCATGAGCAATGGGGATGTGGCTGTGGTACTTCAGGAAGTCACAGCTGGATCCCATTTCCAAAATGGTGGTGCCAAAGAGCCAAAGCCCAGCTCCAAAGCAGTGTGTGTTGACTCCCTGAGTTGATAAGTGTATATTTCTTAAAAGTCAGCAGCTACAGAGTTTGTAGTTGCTGATTTTTATTTTTTTTTAATACAGAGTAAAGTTCCTTTTTAACCCCTTCTGGTGTGCCCCAGCATCCCTTTAAAAAGCTTTGAATGCCCAAGGATAGGAAGAATCAGCAATTATGTGACTACTATGATTGGCTGCCATAGTGGTCACATGATCTGGAGTCAGTCCTGGCAGTTATCAATCGTTAGTGCAGACCAAGACCTGTCTTTGACAGCTCAGTGTCTGTGTTGGAAGCACATAGTGAGTGCACTTTCAGCACAGAAACATCAGCCGCCTAGTGATGCATGTGTGCAGCATGTGGGCATTAATCCCTTAGAGAGTTCTGAAAGCCACAAGGCAGAGGAGAGCATTCGGGTAATGTGACCGCTGTGATTGGCTGTCACAGTGGTCACATGATTGGAAAGCTCCCGATTGCAAATATGTATCAGGAGCTTACCAATCCCCATTAGCTACCATGCTGGGAGCGTGCAGGGAGCGCATTCTCAGCACAGTAAGTTGTTTTAACAGGGTCACATATATGCAACTGCTCAGCATTAAGGTCCACTCGCCAAGCAGCTGCATATATGTGTACAGCCAACAGGTTAAAGCCCACCCCTTTGCCACCACACATATTTCTTACACAGGCAAAGTGTAAAGAGCTCTTTCACTCCATCAAGCCAGGCTGGTGTGTGCTGGGTGGAGGGGTGCTGCTGCTCTGATCCTGATGCATTGCACTGTTTACTTTTTATTTTCATTTTTTTTTGTTAAATCTTTATTAAAATGTCACATATGACATTACATTCAATTGTATTCACTGTAGCTCAGCATCGTGATGGAGTAGTTTGCATCGCAACATGCTGCACTGAAAAAAGTACTGCAGGCAGTACTTTTTTTAAGTGCTGAACATCAGAACACATGCATGAGCTGACTTCATAGAAAACAAGGCACATTGCCTTGTCTTTGTGTTGGGACTGCACTGGGCAAGACTGCCCAGCACAAATGGTGGGAAAGTCTCTGGCAAAATGTTTAACTGCAGATCAGCTGTAATGTTTCCTAGACAGCAATGAGCAGATTGACCTGATGCCCAAAACTACAGAATAGACCCCAAGAAGTATAATCCTTCATGAAACCTAGTCCAGTGTTTTTATATGCTGCTCCATAGGCATTGCTTCATTCTATTCAGATTTTGTTTGAAGAGTCCTACATTTTGAGCCCTTTAAGAGCTGTGGCACATCAGAGTGAATTACATTTTACTAAATATTGGGACACTGCATCACTGCTAATTGTTTGAAGTAAGCATTTCTATAGGATAAAAAGGTAATCAAGGCTCAAATAAATGGGCAAAAAAAGAAGTAACAAAAGGGGAGAGGAAAAGGTTCAGGTCCTTAAAGCCTACTTTATATGACAAAAAAATGAAAAAAACATATGCTCTGTATCTTTTCAATAAATGCACTTTTCCCCATGTTTTTTCCCTTTTACAGACACTAGAAGTACAGAAAAATACCTGCCGATGCCTCAGAAGTGCACTTAAGTTCTGTTGTGGGTTGACTACACACAGCTTTTTTTGTGGATTGGGTGTTGTCAGCTCTCCCGGTGTCTGCTGCTAAACTACCTAACCACTCACACTCTCAGATCTGTACCACATAAAGGCTAATTCTGTAATCAATGATAAGACCTAGGAGGGGTTAATAGCCTCTTTAAGATAACACAAGAAGTATGCAGAAAATACAAGACACAGGGCAGCTATGAATTTCTGACAACAGATTGAAGCAGCACTGGTCCTTGTTTGCGATGAGCTGGTATCTGTTGGCTTAGCTCATGGAGGGTCCTTGAAATATAGGTTTCTTCAAGAACGTGAAGGTGGGTGAGGAGTATCATGTATGAATAGAAAGTCTTGAAAGCTCCAGCCAGCTAAACAATGATAACTTTATTAATATATGACATAAACAAAGCCACTGAGTTTTGGGGAAGTGTGAGTCTGCATTCGTCAGTGCTTTGGTAGCATTGGAAGTGTTGGTCTTGGGCAATGCAGTCTGTGTGCTAATATAATGACACTGTTATTATATCATTATTCCATTGACTGTAGTGTCCATGGATGACAGATCTAATGCTACCAAAGCCCTTAGGAAGGGAAAGATACAATCCCTCTGAAAAGAGTAGGCTATGTTTTATGTCATACACTAATAAAGTCAATATCATTATTCATTTGGCTGAAGTCTCCAAGCCTTTCTATTCATCCACCTCCACAATCTTCACAGGTATTTATTGCTGTGCATGTCCGTGCCGCTTTTGGGGAGATTTATCCTCCCCATTTGTCCATACTTTGTGAATTGTCTATTTTAGGGACACTTATTTCTGTGACAACTGATTAAAATGGGATTTCTTTCACTTTGAAAATCTCCCCAGTGGGTCACCGGTGGTAAAATAACACTTGACAGGGGTTTATATCATTCATTTTGGGCTTTGGAAATACTTTATATAGCCCAATTGATGTTCCCTACCTTTCTGCATAGTTCTGTACCTCTGCATACTGGGATTTGTGACTGATTTTTTGCTTTTGCTTGGAATGCAGTCAAATAGCTTTTTATCTGTGTGAAAATGCTGCTTCCTGCCCCCCCATTCCAGTGTTCTTTGCTGACATTGCTGAACAACAGTCACACTCCTTCCAAGTACCCTCCCACAGACTTGTATTGCAGCGGGGAAGGGTGTCTGAACAGCTCAGTTACTGAGTGCTGATTACTGAGAGCACTGGATCAAACTCTAGAGACTATTGGACTGCACACTCATACTTATAAACCCTGCACAAATGCTCTAACAAATAAATAGAGGTAAAACTATAAAAATAAAGCTTTTTGTCTATGTGACTGCATATCTATTTTTGAACCTTCAATTGGACTTTAAGAGCCCAGTCACAACTGTGACCACAGTTGAAAAGAATGATAAACAACTATATTTAGTACAAACTCTAATAATAATAATTACAAAGCAAGAATTCAATTTTGTTCAGGAAATTTGATGTATTCATTTATTAAGTACACGTAAATGCAATTAGTTCTGTTCTAGAGGTACCAACTAATCCGTTTCCACTCACTACCCCCACCCCCCAAGCTAATACCCTTCTGAGAGGCATTACCTTACGTTTTCATGCAGAGGTCCTGCACTGGTGACTTCTCAAATGTTCATGAAGAAATTCCGTGCTGGGGATTTCATGCGGTGAAAATTAATGGACGATATATCAGGCTCTTCATTTGATCTCCCTGTGATTTGTCTTTAATTTCTCAGAGTTTCCACAGCTTGATAGCACAGCTAAAGGAAAGAGAGAAGACAGTTGTGAAGTTGTGTCCAAATTTTGAAATGCATTCAACACAATCCAACATTTTTTCCAACCATTCCAAGCATTTTCCAGAATTAAAAAAAAAAATCATTCATAAATTGTTTCAACGAAGACCCTGCTGCTAAAATGATTTAATGAATAAGCCTGGCCAAAATGTTTCAGCCATGGATGGATTTTGTTGCCATGTTTCAAACAATGGATTCATTTGAAGCTCAAGAACAGAAATGTGTGAAACTAGGAGTTTTAACCTTTTCCAAAATTTTGGCAAAAGAAATTGGGGCTTTTTTGCATAAGTACACCATTCTGGCATAATGCACTGGGTTTCATAAGGAAAACTTAATTAAGGTGTTTTTAATCCCTTCTGTTTGTCTTCAATGACCCTTTATCTGGGTTCCAAGATGGGAAGGGGAGAGCAGAACAGAGTTTCTAGTCACGTGAACACTGTGATTGGCTGTCACAGTGGTCACATGATGGGAAGCCCATCTCTCCAGCTTCCAATCATAAATAGAGACCAGGGGCTGCCAGTGACAGCTTAGTCACATTGCTGGGACCATGCAATGAGAACACTCTCAGCACAGAGACCTTAGGCACCATAGATGGTATTAATGGACACCCTTCTTGCCTCTACACATATGCGTTATGTGGTCGGCAAGAAGTTAAAAGTGCAATGACACTTAAATGGATACTGAGGGTTAGGGAAGCTCCTTTTTTTAACCATTGGGAATCTGTTTTTGTGAAAAAAAAATGCTGTCAACGTGACCTTAGATATAGAAGAACAAAGGAGCATTAATGTTAACCACTTGCCCTCCTAATGATTTACCCCCCTTCCTGACAAAGCCATTTTTTGTGTTATGGCAGTGACAAGTGCACGATCATGCAACGCTGCACCCAAATGATATTTACGTCCTTTTTCCCCATGAATTGAGCTTTCTTTTGGTGGTATTTGATCTCCTGTGCGTTTTTTATTTTTTGCACTATAAAAAAAAATGACCAACAATTTTGAGAAAAAAACTAACTTTTGACTTTTTGCTATTAAACATGTCCAGCAAAAAAAAAAAAAAAATGGCGCCGATCAGCGACTTATAGCAGGACTGCGGCAGGCATTCTGACACTGGGGGGAACTGACTTGGTGTCACTGACATCCCCAATGACACCAATACAGTGATCAGTGCTTATAAGAAGCACTGACACTGAACTAATGACACTGGGCAGAAAGGGGTTAACATCTGGGGTGATCAAAGGGTTAACTGTGTGTTGTGTATTTTACTGTATGTTCTGTGTGTGTTTTTTACTATGTAAACATGCTACTGTGTATTTCTCTGCTGTGCAGAGAAGTACACAGTAGCATGCTACTGCTGGCAGGAGAGAGACCCTGTCACTGACACTGTACTAATGGCACTGGGCAGGAATGGGTTAACATGAGGGGAGATCAAAGGGTTAACTGTGTGCTGGGAGTGTTTTACTGGGTGGCGGTGTATTGGTGCTTCACTGTAAGCACACTGCACTGTGCACAGCCATCCAGAGCAGTGTGCCCGAGCCGTCAAGGAGGAGGACTGTTAGTAAACAAAGCAGTCCTCCTCCCTGTCAGAGATGCTTGGTAATCACAGGGCGCCGGCTGCAAATGGCAGCACGGGTAGGGCGCGTGCCCCCTACCCAAAAATACTAAATCATGTGTATATACATGATTTTGCAAACTCCTGCCACCCTTAGCAGTATATCTGCCATAGGGCAGTCAAGATGTAGTTAAGGATATCCCAAACCTTTTGTTTATCAACAAAGCCATGTGAATGTTTTATTTTTAAAGTGCTATTAAACCCCAAACCAAAATGTAATATTTTTCAGATGACCAATTATTAAATGTGGTGGCTGCATTAGTATTATTTTTTTTAGGCTTTTGTCCCTCTGTATTTAATTGGTGGTCTGGCCAGTAACACACCTCCTGCATAGAAGTGTCCCCACTCTGAATGAAGGAGCACATGGGCACCTTTGGACAGCAGCATTGTCAGTCTGAGGGGAGTGTTAGATGTACTAGCAAGTTTAGATATACTAAACAAATTGAAGCCAAACTCCAACTAATACTTTATAAGCAGTTACAGCAAAAAGTTTTTTTTTCTTTTGGGATAAAAAATTTTACATAAATAAGCAAAAGCTGATTGACCCCTTTTTGTGGTAAATGGATTGTCTCATCCTTGTAACTGCCACATCTGTAGGATAGCTTGTCCTTTTGAAAAACAACAGACTTACTGGCCAAAACACCAGGTGAAAATAAAGTATAGAAAATCTACAAATAGAAAAATAATGCAGCCATCACATCTAAGAATTGGTAAGCTGCAATATAATACATTTTGCTTTTGGGTTTAATACAACATCAAAACTTCGGGCACAATAAATTTGATTGAAATATAAATACCATATTAGCCATAAATGGTATATATTTAAATTCTGTGCAAACCCAGATGACACTTTGTGAAAATAGAGGTGATGTAATCACTGAGTCTTAGCAAAAAGCAGGACTGTGGGTGGAGGATACAAGACCAGTCACCCTCAAGAAGATAGAACAGCAGTGACTGCTCTTCAATATCCCACACAGGCAAAGTGCAGGAATTGTTTCATGCTGGATTACTGCACAGATCTGGAAGCAATACACAGAAGACAATATTTGTTTAGCCTTTAGTGTTTAGTTTAGTGTTGAAAAAAATAAATGATAAAAGTGGTAGCAGTAATTGTTGCAGTAATAGCAGTAATAGTAGCAGAGGTATTTTTTAAGCATTATTAACGCACATTTTTAATGTTACTCATTTATTAGTTACTAATTATCGAAAACAAGTAATTGCAACTTTATCAATCTTTACTTCATTATTGTGAACCAGAGTGAAAGGTTTTAGATTGCCACTCAGATCCCTGTATCCAAATGCTGTAGACTCACACTGTGGGTGCTGGCTTGGGGTGAGAGCTTGTCCTGACTCTACATATTGAAGGAAAGAAGTCCCCATCGTCGCAGTCAGAAAAGGCCCAATGGTCATGCAGGTAAAGGCAGCCTCAGCCTAACTCTGTCCAGACCACTACCCTGATACATTTTGCTCCTTCCTTGGGATTTTTGTTATGCCAATAGGGAGCCTCCTAATTACACAAGCCATGCTTTCACTTGTAGTTTTTCGATGAGCGGACAAGCATTATTCTTTATTCTTCACATTTTTGCCAAAACTTGCAAAATATTCAACATTCTTCCAGTCAAGTGCAGCATTTTTATATTTATTAGCATTGAATTAGCAACTTAATTCATTTCTTCAAAAAGGACAATTACAGGACAAGTGAATATGTGTGGATTTGCCTTCTCTTGACCAGTAGGCCTGTTAGACATTCCTAAACCTGCCATACCCATAGCAATCTGATCATTTGAAAAATAATAATTTGAATATAAAGTATTGAAGTCATTGGATCACCATGATGCCAGGCAACTAGAATTTTTTTGAAGGAGGGGTTGAGGGAGTTTCCTACAATTGCATTAATTAAAAAGAGCAGTTGTAAGGTGTAAGCAGACTATCTGACACAATCAAATATTTATGTATCTGCACAAAGCTCCTTCACCATTCTCATTATTATCATTATGGTCATCCCTGGCAAATCTACTAGACTGGGGGGCAGTTTTATTCCCCACACTACAGTGTCAGTGAAGTGGTCTCCTTAGCCATTAAAGTACAACTAAAAGTACCTGTCTGGTTTTTATTGCAGTCTGTGCCCCCATTATAGAGATAAGCCTCTTTATTTGTCCTGTTTACATTATTACTGAGCATGAAAGTGAAAGAAAATACCAAATTTCAGAATGTCACCAGAACAAGAATAGGTGAAATCTCCCAACAGGGACATAAGTATTATTGACCCTGGAGACATCAAGGGATCTCCTCACTTTGGAGGGATTTCCTGGTTAGGTGATGGGACAGAGAGTGAAGGGAAATCAACCCAATCAGACAGATGGCACAAATAGAACTGACAGGAATTGTACTGTAATCCTCACTAAAACATAAAACATGGAAAAAGTTTGACCTGTAATTCCAAATTAAATGGGAACACGATGGCTTTTTGATACTACTTTACAGAAGTTCAAGGCTTCTTAACTACCTTCCTCCTCTGATGTCGTCACCCTGAATGGATTCACAAATTCTAATTCTGTATCTTCCACATTAGTAGTAATGTCAAAGAAAATGAAAAAAAAAATATATAGCATCAAGGGCTCCTTGATGGACAATGCCCCTATTACCACTAAAAGCAACTATTTGACCCGTGTGCTCTCCGCACTCTGCATAGCATACCTCTTCTAAATGTATCCCCTCATTCTATCAGGAGCTTTTATGCAGCTTCTTCCTCCTTCAGTATACCTTTCTTAGATATGGACAAATGCATTACGCTGCCAACAGATTGCTGCTTTCATTTTCAAAAAATCCTATTACTAATGCACTGCTACTACACCTATTAGTGAACTGAAGAGACTGCGAAGAAAATATATTTTTGAACGTAGAAGAAAAGTGTTTGGATGAGTTAAGGATTAAGTGGTGCCCTGGCGCAAAGTCAAATTATCAGATTAATATCCTGCTGTGACTGTGAAGATGAACAAGCTATGCGGTAGACAATGTCAAGCACTTGGCAGGGATGAACTGGCCCGCTGACCATTTGTGATAAGTTTGGGAAGAAGCCTTTGCTGATTTGGTTGCTGGCACTGAAGTTATTTTCCTTACCAATCCCATTCCAATTATGAATAGGGATGATAATGGAATATTGTTACCCCACTTCCACTGACACCCATCTTTCAAGATAAGGATTATATTTTAGAAATGGTTGGATGCTCTACAATAAATGACAACAGGAGTTTGTGTTTGTTATTTTCCTAAAAAAGATGCTTGGGGGGGTTAAATATTAGAGTGAAGATTACTGTATGACCCCCATTGCAATATGTGTGTGTGTGTGTGTGTGTGTGTGTGTGTATATATATATATATATATATATATATATATATATATATATTTATGCATTTTTTTTATTTGTTTATTTTTTTTTATTTCAAATCATAGAGATATACTGTATTTTCCAGCGTATAAGGTGACTGGGTGTATAAGACGGCCCCCTAATTTTCCAGTTAAAACATAGGTTTTGGGCTATACTCACCGTATAAGACTACCCCCTTCCAAGGCAACACCATTTAAAAACATCAGATTTTTTAATTGAAATGGTTATGACTTACTGAGACTTAAAATCCTTCAAATTCCTCATGTTCATCCTCTGCCATAAGTTCATGAATGACATCTTGTGATACATTTGTAAGACAGTCATCATATGGATCAAATTCCAAATCAGATGGTTACCGCTGGATGTGCGGTAATACGGTAGCTTCGGCTACATACAGTATACAGTATATATACAGCCCGCTGGATGTGCAGTAATGTACATACAGTATACCACGCTGAGCCAAGCTGGCTCAAAACAAATGTCCCTACAACAGATTAATCTGTCAGCCTGCTGGAAGTGCGGTATATACAGTATACTGAGCCAAGCTGTTTCAAAACATACCAGTACATCCCTATGGTAATCAGACCGCTGGATGTGTGTATGTACGGTAGCTGCGGCTACATACAGTATACATTGGGCCAAACACGGCGAGCGATGTATTCTACTAATGAATACAAAGCCTGCTCGGATTGGCTGAGGTTGTGACATCATCAGCCCACCTCTCTGACTCAGCCAATCCAAGCAGGCTTTGTATTCATTAGTAGAATACATCACTCGCCGTGATTGGCCCAGTGTATACTGTATGTAGCCGCAGCTACCGTACATACACGCATCCAGCGGGCTGATTACAGTAGGGACATACCGGTACGTTTTGAAACCGCTTGGCTCAGCGCAGTATACTGTATATACCTCACATCCAGCGGGCTGACAGATTAATCTGTCATGGGGACATTTGTTTTGAGCCAGCTTGGCTCAGCACGGTATATTGTATGTATAGTATTACCACACATCCAGCCAGCTTGACCCAAACAAACTCACATTTTATACCCCACGTATAAGACGACCCCCAATTTTTGGGGTATATTTTTAAGTATAAAAAGTAGTCTTATACGCCAGAAAATACTGTATATAGAACAGGAACTTTATTTTCATCACATTGTGAGTTGATTTAGACTGTTCAATTTGCAAGGGAAGCTGCAGTTTGCAAGGGAATGTTCCTAAAAGCATAGTGAATAGGGTGAAATGCCACTTTGCAAAGAATACCCAATCATGTGCAAGGAAAATAAAAAAAAAAATGTAGTTTTTCTTGCACATTATTGACGTATAGAAGTCAGCAGAGCATCACCTCATTCACAGACCTCTGAGAAAGACTCACTTGCAAAGTGCAACTTCCCTTGCAAAGTGAACAGTCTATTTGTCTTTAGTAAAACAACCTCTGTGTAATCAATTTTGTAAGGACAAACTGATAGCTTTCATAAATACACTTTTATTATGTGGATGATTATTAGATTTGTGGCATATTTACAAAGCAGCTAATGCGGAATTAAACTCATTGATTTAACTATT